ATTGGTAAACGGGAATATCTCAAAATCTAAGAGAGATAACAAAATATTCATTAGAACCTTTTTTGTAGATTGTAATGAGAGCAATAAAAAAGGTAATAACAAAAATTTTGCTATCTCCCTTAGTCTCGAAGATATGCGCTGAAATTTGCGCTTTTTTACTTGTTGCTCTCGATAATGCCAATTTTTATTGATGATTCTAATCAATCGATAAAATTCTGATCAATTAATTAAATTCAAGGGACTCGAGCTGAACGATTGACCTTGTACAGAGCAGTACGCAGTATTCCATCAGCGAAAAGGGCGTATGCTGGAGGTGAACAAGTAGTTGAAGACGTTGACTTTAAACTCGTCGATCTTGATCGTGTCGACATCGGCGATCCTTTCACCATTCTCATTGACATTGATAATAAATCTGAAGAGAAGAGAACAGTCAAAGTTGTCTTGTCAGCTGGTAGTGTTTATTATAATGGGGTGAAGGCCCATCAGATTAAACGAGCCGAAGGAGAATTCGTTCTGGAGCCATCGGAGAAGAGATCTCTCCAGCTCAGATGCACCGTTGAAGAGTATTTGGATAAATTAGTCGAGTATGCCAATATGAAATTGTATGCCATTGCTACTGTACAGGAGACTAATCAAACGTGGGCTGATGAGGATGACTTCCAGGTCATCAAACCAACGATCAAAGTTGAGGTAAAAAACAAGAAATTTCATTGTCCAATTATTTATTCTATGAAATAATAATAATAATTAAATAATTAATTGTTCCAAATGCCGACAGATTATTATCAGTAATTGAAGTTGGATTGAATGTAAAATTCCATTGAATGAATATTTAACTCGATTATTTATTAAAATCCATTATCCAATTAAATAATTAATTCTTGCAAATGTCGAGGAATTTTTATAGAAAATTGAAGTTGGATCGAGCGTTGTATTCCATTGAACAAATGTTTAACTCAATTATTTAATTATTATTTAAATATCGTAGAAAAAATTTATTACTACTGACATAGGAACGTATTGTTTACTTGAGGTACAGTAAAATTATTTGCAAGTGCATCTTTTTTTTTTGTTTATCCAAGAGATCAGCCATTAGCTTCTGTTTGAGTAAGTGAATATAAATAGTATGTTAATTTTATCCAGGAATTTTCCTTATTCGTTTATTCTATCAAGTACATTCGATAGCAATTATTTGATCATTTTTTACCATCAGACACGTGATTTACTCCATAGATAGAAAATAATTTCTTAATGATGTGGAAAAAATTATTTATCCTAGTAATTTGTTTTGGATGACATCAACTGTCA